TTTGATGTGGACCATTTTTAAAGTCTTTATTGAATTTGTTACAATATTGCTTCTGTTTCATGTTCTGGTTTTTTGGCAGAGAGGCATGTGGGATCTTAGCTCCCTGACCAGGGATCAAACTCGCACCCCTGCATTGGAAGGCAAAGTCTTAACCACCTGACCACCAGGGAAGTCCCCAGTCCCTTTTTGAGAGTCATTTAGGTGGTTACTAATTTTTGTCATTACAAACAGTGCTGCAAAAAACACCCTATACATATCTGCTTATGCACAAGGGATACTGTCGTACATACACCTAGGAGTCCAATGCTGGTTGTAATTTTACTAGACAGTGCCAAATTGTTCTGTAAATGGGGTACTTTCTACTCATTTTCATCACACTTGTACTGTTAGACTATTTAATGTTTGCTATTCTAATAAGCGTGAAATGATACTTCATAGTCATTTTTATATGCCTGTCCCAGATGACCACTGAAGGTAAACATCTTTTCATGTGTTGACTATTATAGTTCCCTCTTCTGCAAAATACCTGTTCAGTCATTCCACTTTCTAAAACACCGTGAAAAGATATTTATTGCGTAGATGATATGAATGCACTGGTAGTTCAAGGATCTGAAAAGTAAGGTTGGGTTTATTAAGAGTTTACATAATAATAATGCATTCCGAAATACCAGAGTACTGCATCTCAAGCTGAGATTCACAGCAGCATCACAATTCTGCTGGTGAAACGAATGTTTATTACAGGTTACATGTTCCTGTTGGTTAATGGATGCTTTAAATTCTGTGCAAATTATACCACAGCATATGATTCATGATCCTGAGGAAAACGAAGGAGCCGGAGTCTCTGACTTAGAGCAAGGAAGTAGGATCCATTTCCACTTTATGTCTAAACGGATCAAGAAACAAAGAATTGTATTCAAACCTTCCTCCAAACAGTCTGGCAAATAAGCACACGCAAACGCAAACACAAACACAAAATAGTGATAATGGCGTCTACTTTGAATCACGATTGGAAAATAGAAATGGTAATAAAGTAAATAGAATTATTCATATTTAAATACCACAAATAACTCTTACCCAAAGGAGGGTATGTATATTTGAGTGGGTAAGAATTTTTCTAACTGGAAAATTATAAATCTTATTGCTTGTTCATAGGACCACCAGTTTTACAGAAGGCAATTTCTCTCCTCTAGCTTTCTTCTTAGGTACTGTAAAACCAAGTATCACTATTATCAGGTCACTTGCATCTTATCATGCTGACGAGAAATCTACAAAATCTGCATTTATTCTGTACGTATCTGAAAGTTGACCACTATGGAGATTCCAAAGATTGTGTTTGCAAGGCAAGTGAAGGTAGGTCTCCTAGGCAAAGGAAACGATATTGAGACGTTTGAGGAGCTACCTGATGATATCTATAATCCAAGAAAAGTTAACCTAAGACCTTTAGAGTTGGCTTGTAATGTGGTCTTGTCCTCTTAGTTTGAACTTGGATGTGTTTGAAGTAAAGGGAGTTAACATCATTTTAAAAATAATAATGATCCTAGAAGGAAGAAAACAAAAGAATCTGTACGGTTTCCATCTCTGTCCCTCTAGTTTTGTGTTTCTCAGCTGGAGTTGGTCATCACCAAACCACAGATGTAGATAAGGCTCCTGCTGAGGCAGCCCCCTCTCCCTGGTGGTCCCTCTCCCTGGCAGTCCCATCTACAATGTGCAGGACTCCCCCTCTCTGGCAGGGCTGCTATACCATTGGTCTGTACACTCACTGGACACTGGTAGACAAGTGCTTTGGTTTTAAAAAGCAAACATCAAGCTCCTTCCATTCAAGTCAACCAACTCTGAAAAAGGCTTCTTACTTCTTCCTGTTAGAGGAAGCAACCCCCAGAAGAATGATGAAAGCATCGTGTTACAACTGTGTGACGGGACCCTCTAGTACTCACACTCTGCAGGCCAGCTCCCCTAGTCTAAATCATCTCCAACAACAGACTTGATAGAGCAGCCTTTGGGGAACTCCACTCTCATATCCAGGAGAGCTTTGGGTGACCATAGGACCATGTGGATTATGTATCTCAATGGTGTAGCTGAGTCCTCACAAACGGGTAACAGCTGTGAAGAATTCACTTCTGCTTGGACCTGGGCATCTATACTCTTTTGGGATCCGCACAGCTACAGGGCACCTCCTCAGCCCACACCTACAAGTAAAGTCAGTCACTCATCCCCAACACTCTAAGAGCTAGTTCTTCTATGGTGAATACTGACCACACATCAGGCAGGATTCAGTGAACAGTCATGGTCATGGGCTTAGACCTCTTTGGTACCAACTGGGTCTAACCAACTGGGTCAACCATAACAAAAAGTAAATGATGGAAATTCAACAGGTCCCGAACCCAGAACGGTGGCCTTTTTAGTGCCACACTCCACTCAAGACAAACTTATTCAAGGTCAGTGGATACCTGGCTAGGCAGGTGAGAACATAATGATACAGGAGATAGAGTGTAGGTGAGATTACTCAGAGAGGGAGTTATGTTCCTGAAATTCTTGGTTAGAATAGGAAAAGAATTTTCTCAAAGAGAAAATATAAATGAATGTCAGACATCATGATCACAATTCTATTCTCTCTGCATTAAATACTCTTTTGTGATTTAGCACAAATACTTTTTCCCCACAGGAAAGTGCATTTAAAGCTAAAACACACTTAAAGGAACCTCAGAATATCACATATTTGTGAACTGAGAACTTGTTTTGCTAGAGAAAGAACTGACTTCATCTGTCAGTGCATCATTTAAATGGTTCTTCTGGCTGATTATGAAATCAACTGAACTTTCAAACATTTTAATGGAAAACAGAATCGCTTAGTCAACCCTCACCTCAAACCCTCCCAGTCTTCCTGTTGAGCAGTTGATTTATGCAAGGTTTAAGCAACTGGTGGACTGGTGCTTATACCCATGACCACCCTGTCCTTCCCTCAGAATAACTATCATCACATGTTAATTGTAATTATTTAACTGCCTGCCTGCTTCATCCCACCCCCACTAGAATGTAAACTTCACAGGAAAGGGGTTTTGATTTATCTGACATTATAGTCCCTGATAAGCACATAGTAGGCACTCATTAAATATACGTTGAATGAAAGAATAAGTAAAATGGCTGACTGGCATACTAATAAAGGATCTGTGAACAAAATGCCTTTACAATAAAAGAAGTAATTGACATCAAATGGGCCATTTAAGCTGGCAAAGGAGGAGGAACTTGCGTGGCGAAGTGTATTTGTAGTGACCTTGAGCATATGGAACCTACATTTTTAGGCTGGGACAGAAAGTTTTAACTCCTGTAAAACAGTTCCCTAAGTTCAACTTTGTGGGAAAACTTTTGGGGCCACGTGGCAATTCTGTGAAGCATTTACAAGAAGAAACCTTGACAAAAATGTCCATCCTTGGAAAAGGCTCCATGAGAGACAAGGCAAAAGAAGAAGAGTTGAGGAAAAGTGGAGAAGCAAAGTACTTCCACCTCAGTGATGATCTCCATGTTCTGACTGAAGTGTGTGCCCCGCCCCCCAGCAGAAGCCTATGCCCGGATGGGACATGCTCTGGAGGAAATCAAAAAGTTCCTCATTCCTGAGTATAATGATGAAATCAGGCAAGCACAGCTCCAGGAATTAACATATTTGAATGGTGGTCCAGAAAATGCAGATGTACCACTTGTTACCTTGCATACAAGAGGGGTACCAACCCCAGCAATAACCAGGGGAAGGGGAGGAGTCACAGCCCAGCCAGTGGGAGTCGGGGTACTGCGAGGGACACCGACTGCCAGGGGAGTCCTTTCCACCCGAGGGCCAGTGAGTCGGGGAAGAGGACTTCTCACTCCCAGAGCAAGAGGAGTCCCCCCAACTGGGTACAGACCTCCACCACCGCCCCCAACACGAGAGACCTGTGGAGATTATGACTATGACGATGGACATGGCACTGCTTATGAGGAACAGCGTTATGATTCCTATGATAACAGCTATAGCGCCCCAGCCCAAAGTGGTGCTGATTACTATGCTTATGGACACCGATTCAGTGAAGAGACGTGTGATTCCTAAGGGCCAGAGGAGTGGACTAACTCAAGACACAAGGCACCCTCAGCGAGGACAGCAACGGGTGTCTACAGAGACCAGCCATACAGCAGATACTGACTGTACTGTCTGATGTTGTGACATAGCCAGTCTCCATCAGTCCTGTATACTGTTCAAAGTAATTGTTTTCTACGAACAATCCCTTTTTTAAATAAATCAAAATGCTTAAAATCTGGAGAAAACCAAAAAAGCAGTCTCTGAGAATTCTGTACGATGAAGAAGTGATTCCATTTTACACCACACGTTGTAGATGGCACTATGGACTTTAAAAAGTCTCAAGCCAAGGGGACTCTGGGCAGAATGACCCTGCAGAACTTAAACCAGAAAGAAATAAACCCTATGCATTGAAAGCTCCTGGATAGGAAGTCCCCTCAAATCCAGGAAAAGATGGTAAGTAGATACCAGAGCTGAAGGAGGCCCTCTAAATCAGCCCTTCTGTCAGCGGGTGACCAGGGCCCTCCCTCTCTGTGTTCCAGATTCCAAAGTGACAGCGCCACAGGTTAAAAATTCCCTTCCTATTCACAGCGTATTCCAGGTAACAACTGGATTTTTCATCTCTTACTAACCAGCTCGCTGGCTTAAGTGCCCCCCACGCAGTCCCTCCCCACTCGAGGTGAGAGAAGCATGGCGCCTAAGGGACGAGGATCCGAGGCTTGGGTTGACAGGCCGGCCGGCGACCTTGGCTTTCCGGGGCCCAGGCCAACGCGCGGCGCCTACGCCAGCGCCGCCCTCGCGCGGGGTGAAGGTGGAGGCGGGAGAGGCTCGCCACACCTCGGGGTTTGCAGAGGCTCGGCATCCGGGCCGGGCGCTGGGGGTGGGGAGGGAGGTACGCCTCTCCCCGGACGGCCAGGAAGCGGGGACGTGGGAGCCATACGAGCGGCGGGGAACTCACCTGCAGCAACACCGCCAGCAGGAAGCACAGGTACATCTGGTAGATGCCCATCTCGCCCACCGCCTGGAACGCCTCCTCCACCTCCATGGCCGGCCGCGCGCTCGGCCCCGGCCTAGCCGCCAGCGGGAGCCCGGCCCCGACCCGCCCTCCCGCCGCCCCCACTCCGGCGCGGCCCTCCCCGGCCGGCCCGGCGCGCGAGCTCCACGGCGCCCGGCACCGGCTCGGCCCAGCCAGCGAGGAGCCGGGCGCGGCGTGGGAGCGTGGGCGGGGCGGCGGGAGTTGCGTCTGCGCGGGCGGGGTCGGGGGTCGGGGGTCGGGGGCCGGGGGCCCGGGGCCCGCGCGGGCTTGCGGGTCCGGGGCGGGATGCCAGGTACCAGGGCCTCTGGGCTTCCTGTTAAAGATTTTTTTCTGAGAGGGATGGGTTTCTGCGCCGCTTAAAGCGAGAGGAGGAAAGAGGAAGTGGGCTCGGGCGTCGGCATCCTCTCTGATGGAGAAATACGGGAAGGGCAGCGGCGTCTAAGCCACAGCCGCTGCTTCGGGGACGGGGGACGTGATGACTGTTGGGAGACCCGGTGACTGCTAGCATAATCTGTACTTTTGTACGAATCAGTTAAATGCGGTAAGTGGGAATGGGTTCTAGATCCTTCAGAGAAGAGTGCTGTTCAACATTTCTTTCCATCCTGCTCTGTGCTAGCTATGTGGTCAGGCAACCAAATTCCTGCAAAACCGTGAGATACATTTGGTTATAGAAATATCCATGAGGTACGAAGGAAATACAAAAGATGAAAGATTAATTTGTGGGACAGGACGTGATGGCTGCCAAAGTGTTTGAAGGATAAACAGCAGTTTGAAGGGCTGGAAATGGAGAAATATGCAGCAGGACCTAGGGACGCTAGTCACTTGCCTTAAGCCTCATTTCTCCACTTCCTTAGATTGATTTTAACAGCTGCATAGTATTCCATTGTCGAGGCCACGGCACCCAATACAATATTGAACAGAAGAGGTAACCAGTTAATGCTTTATCTAGCCTTTTACGTCTAAGAGAGTGAGATAGATCTATAATTTTCTTGTTACTGTTCTTGTCTGGATTTGGCTGTGAGATTATAGTAGCTTAGTAAAATGAGTTGGAAGTATTTAGTAAAAACTCTTCTTTAAACCATCTGGACTTGGTTTGTTTTGCAGGGGGAGCCTCTATTACAGAGATAGAGACACAGAGAGATTTATGTCACTTATTTTTATGGCTTTTTTTTTTTTTTTTTGGTACGCGGGCCTCTCACTGTTGTGGCCTCTCCCGCTGCAGAGCAACAGGCTCCGGACGCACAGGCTCAGCGTCCATGGCTCACAGGCCTAGCCCCTCCGCGGCACGTGGGATCTTCCCGGACTGGGGCACGAACCCGTATCCCCTGCATCGGCAGGCGGACTCTCAACCACTGCACCACCAGGGAAGCCCTTTACGGCTTTTTGTTCTTGAATTACTTTTAGTTTTTTTTCTAGAAGTGTTACTATTTTATCTAGTTTTTCTGTTGTTTTTGGAATAAACTTGTTCATCTTGTTCTCTTGGGGTTTTTTCAATCATGCTCTAGCTGTATTTAGGCCCCATTTTTTTATTCTGAATATTATTCATTTTTATTGTCCCATTCTTATCAGTCTTGCCAGAAGCTTGTCTACTTTATTATTTTTTGAAGAAACCAGTTTTTATTTTGTGATTTTTCTTTATGTCTTTGTTTTCTATTTTATGGAATATATGAACTATTTTCTTTCTTTACTTATTTTTGCTAGTATGTAATTCTTTTACTGCCTACATGACTTGAAAGTTTAGCTTTTTGCTTTTAATTTTCCTTTTATAAGAATAATTATACACAAGACTATGCATTTCTCTCTAGGTACTACTTTGCTGTATTCCACAAGTTTTGTCATGTGGTATTTACATTGTCTTTAGCTTTAAATATTCCATGACATTGTAATGTCCTCTCTACCCAAGGAGCTATTTGTTCTTTTTTTTTAAGTTTTCAATTAAAGGTTGTTGCTATTTTTTAACCATCTTTTTATTGTTGATTACTAATTTAAATGCTTTGTGAACATAGATGATATTAAATCTTGGAAACTGAATTTTCTTGTGACCTAGTATGTGGTCATTTTAGAAAAGTGTACTGAATGTATTGAAAATACTCTCCATTTGTTTGGGTGCAAGGTTCTTTATCTATTAGATCAACCTTGTTAATTTTATCAAAGTAGTCTGTATTACTACTAAATTTTACTTTGCTGGATGTATCAGTTTTTAGTAAACGTGTCAAAATCTTACAAAATGATTATCATTTTCGAGTTTTTATCAAGTTCTCTTTTTATTTGTGCAAGTTTATGAAAGTACCAATTGTATCATTCCTTTTATCGCGATAAAATACCTTTTTTTCTCTTAATGCTTTTTGTCTTAATTTTCATTTTGTCTAATGTTAACATTGCTGTGTCAATTTTTTGTTGTTATTTTCCTTGTAATCCCTTTGTTTTCATCCTTTCAGCTTTGTTACCTTCTAGACATGTTTATGGAAGGAGGGTTTATTTGTCTATCCAATTTTGTAGTCTCTGTCTTTTAACAGGTGAGTTAAACCCACTTATACTCATTGTGAATGATATATTTAGAATCATTTCTACTATTTTGTGTTTTATGTTTACCATCTTCTTTCTTTTTACTTCCTGGCCATCTATTGAAGTCTTAAAGACATTTTTATATGGTCCTTCTTTCTTTCTTCTATTTTTGGGAGCTACACATTGCACTATTTTTTTTTATGTTTACCATCTTCTTTCTTTTTACTTCCTGGCTATCTATTGAAGTCTTAAAACCATTTTTATATGGTCCTTCTTTCTTCTATTTTTGGGAGCTACACATTGCACTATTATTGTTATTATTGTTGTCATTATTATTATTTTAGTAGTTACTCAACGTTTTAACATCCACATAACTGTACACTGTTCTACAATGTTGATAGTTACTTAATATATTTATTCTCTTTTCAAACTACACGAGATTCCAGAATGCTTTATCGGAGAAAACACAGGAGGACATAAAATGTTATGTTCTGAAAAGCTTTGTTAGGTGACTCAAGAAGTGACTATTGTGGTGCCAAAACACTGATGAACAAGACTAATGTGAAGTGTTTTAACAAAACACTTTCACTGTTAAGGAAAATTGTCCTGCACTTGGAAATAATCAGAAAGCAAGAAGAGGACTGTATGTCCTTTCAATGTAATCATGAAACATTATTCAACAAGCCCCCCCCCAGGATTATTTAATTATTTAATTCAGTAGGAAAATTTACCAGTGTTTGACCTGGCTATTTGCTATGAATTAGAGTCTAGATACTGTGCAGTTACATGTAAATTTGTGGATTTTCTTTTTGGTAGAGATGTAAATGATTATGTTTAATAGGAAAGATAATAATCTATTATTTCATTGCCCCGCAGAACATTAATTCATTTTATATATAATCTAGCAATCTTTTTTTTTCCTAGAAATAACCAGTTCTTCAAATGCTCTTAGAACCAGCTTTACCATCCTACTGCTTCCTTCATCAATTAAAATAAAATCATTGACATGGGTTCATTCTGTATAGGTAAGAGAGTCATATTTTGAACTTTTGAAATTTTCCTTTGATATTATGATGCATGAGAGTGAAAAAATTATACATCCATATTTTATGATATATAGCTAAATAAATGAAGTGTTAAGTAGAAGTTGGGTTATTTCATCTTACTCGCTAAAAGTTTATGTATTTTAAGTGGGTCAGAAACTTTTCTACATATTCCGTGTTAATTCACATTGTGTTGGAACATATATCCTAAAAGCAGTTGGTTATCGTGAGAACAGAAAATACAACCCTGGAAGTGTCAGAAATGAGGTCTGTGGATTGATAGAGTCCAGGTATGCAGTGCTAAGGTGCTTCAACTTTTTCCTGCAGGTGATGGGGACCACTGAAGTGTTTTTTCAGGTTGAGCGTTGTGATTTTTAAAAGATGATTTGGCAGCAGTGGAAAATGCACATAACACCAGTTGAGACACTGTTGTAAGGGCCCAGGCAGGACCCAGTGAGGGTCTGAGAGCTTAAACCAGGACAGTGGTAATAGGGATTGAGAAGTGAAGTCAAATTTAAGGTAAAGTCTGCAAAAACTGACAGTGATTCATTTTGCAGAAGCATACGAGAGAGAAATCAGCAATGATTCCTATGTTTCTGGCTTCAACAACTGGGAAAATGGAGGTAGTACTATTTTTTTATATATATAAATTTATTTATTTCATTTATTTATTTTTGGCTGCATTGGGTCTTCGTTGCCTGTGCACGGGCTTTCTCTAGTTGCGGCGAGCGGGGGCTGCTCTTCGTTGAGGTGTGCGGGCTTCTCATTGCGGTGGCTTCTCTTGTTGCAGACCGTGGGCTCTAGGCACATGGGCTTCAGTAGTTGTGTCACACGGGCTTCGTAGTTGTGGCTCTTGGGCTCTAGAGCACAGGCTCAGTAGTTGTGGCGCATGGGCTGAGTTGCTTTGCGGCTTGTGGGATCTTCCTGGACCCAGGGCTCGAACCCGTGTCCCCTGCATTGGCAGGCGGATTCCTAACCACTGCACCACCAGGGAAGCCCAGAGGTAGTACTGTTAACTGAGGTAGGGAACACAGAAGGTAGAGTAGGTTGGTGGTGGTAGGTTGAAGGACCTGAGATAGGAATGGTGGGGCCTAGAGGCATTGCTCTTTTAAATGGTCGTTGCCCCTTTAAGATCCTGCCCTTCCCCCCCTTAACCCACCCAGGCCCCTGCTGGATTTCCTTGCCCTCATTTACAGTCCCTGCCAGAGCTTCTGAGCATGCGCTGAAGGAAGAGCAGGACTAATTAAAGCTCTCCTGAGGCTCAAGGTATTGCATCTGTGGCTCTTAGCAAAGAGTTCCATTTTGAGAGCATATTTTCCCCATCTGACCATTCTTTACTCATTTTTCTTTTTCTTAAGTCCTTTCCTACTATAATTTTATAGTACCTGTATTTCTTTTAATAACTCAGAAGTAATAAACATCTGGGGTTTTTTTTAATAATAAACAATTAAAATAATGTTTAAAATAGTGTGTCTATCACATATACACTTGTTGGGATATGAGAGGAAGAAAGGTTAACTTTATCTGGTAAATTACATAAAGCCTTGAAGCAAATATACTCAATTATTGTCATCTTCTTTCTTTTGTTGTAAAACCTCCACACCTAACCACAGTGTCATGCCTTTTGCTTCACTGGTAATTTGGTGTCCCGGAAGGCTACT